ACATCTGACTGATTATTGTGAGAGTCGTGTATCTCACTAATTAGTGATTGTGTCTTTTTGTAACCTGAAGTTCTGTCACTTTAATAATGTATGTTGTTTATGTTTCAAGGCATTTTTTGGTGCTTTGTGTTGGTGGTTTTGACAGCGTTCATTTGCACAGAACACAAAATATAGCAGTAAATTTACAAATGACTGTTGCTGATTTTTGATGCTAAATGATTTTACTAATGTGTCTTCTACTGTATGGGACTATCATGACACAAAGAGTTCAGTTAAAGATGTACCTATGAACTCTCTCTTTGCCCCTTGACCCAGTTTGTGACAATACATAAGGGAGTTTTTACAGAGAATTTGTTGTGAATATTTCTGTTAATCACTATAATTTATATGTTTTTGTAATGAATTTAATGTTATTTTTGTAATTTTCTTTCAAAACAAACACATTTCACCATTTTACCTAGATTCAGATCGTGTACTCTGTTTGGATCTGTTATATCAAATAACCAGTCAGCATTAACATGACATAACTTGATATTATACAATTTTATTGATGCAAAACAAAGTACCACGGAAAATTAAAGTCACATAGAAGTTGAGATGTATCAGAATAATGTTTTATAAACCATTTATATCACTGTGAGACATCAGAGTGATGAAGTGCTATTGAAAAATCAGGTGTTATTTAATGATTTGTTAAAAAAGTTAATCATTTTAAAAAGTCAATTTCTTTGTGCAGTTTGAAATAAATGTGATTATGATAATAATACATCAGGATATCAAACATCAGAAAACAGACTATGATAATCATGTTTGATTACATACGTGTAATTTTCTACAAGTGATAAGGAAAGAAAAAGAGCAGCAAAAGATTATTTTGGTTTGTGAAAATGAGAACTAGCTCCAGTAGCCACCATGCTGGCTAAATTGTGATGCTCACTGAGTGAACAGACCAAACCTCCCATGATGCAGCTTCTTTCTGCTAATGGGAATTATGGCTTTGTTGACTGCAGGGTGCAGTCTGGATGGATCCTCTTCATCAATGACTTTTGGTTCATAGACAGAAATTAGTTGATTCTGAGTATGTAGCATGAAATTATATTATGATGGTGAAAAAAAAAGCTTAAAAACAGAAGAAGAATGCTAAAGCAGGCAATGCATTTCCCAGATATTTAATTTGAATCTTCTAGCGAGGCTCATCGTATTATGTGAGGAGCTGCTCACCACAGGGCTGTACTTTTTAATTTATTTAACAGCGGTGTAACACAGTAAACTCAAAAAGGTGAAAGTAGGTGGTTTTTCTTTTAACAAGAGTAATAAACTTGTAATTAAAAAAAAGATTTTATGTTTCTGCGGTGAGCGTAATTAAATCATGTACGATCTGCATGAAGTTCAACAATTTAAAGATTGTTAAATTTATTCTTGTTGAGATGATGTGATACAATGTGGTTATTTGCCTGGACTCGCCTAGTTTTCAGTTTTTAAGTGTAACTTTCTGTTCCTCCAGGTGTCTGTGGGACTGAACTGCTGTTGCTGTAGAGAGGATCTGCCTGGTTTTTAGAGAAGTGGATGCTGGCATACTGAAGAGCATCCTGTTCCTGTGGCTCCTCCTGATCAGAGAGACACTGCATAGAAAAAAAAGATCTTAGATTAGAATGGTGAATGATGATTTATTTTTTACTGCAATTATATTTCTGGTTTCACCTGTTCCTTGTTGTCTGCTCTGCCTTCAGTCTTGGATGATTCCTTGGAATTCCTCTTTTTTCTGAGGAGTGAAATGATAATGAACAAAAGAACAACACAATGACTGAAAAGTAAAAGTTTAATGCGACAGATCTGCTCACCGAATCCAAAGGAAGACAGGGAGGGATGTGACAGACAGGAGAACAGCAGCAGTTACTCCAGCAGCTTTTATCTTCTTTGCTCCTGATCAAGATCAAAGTAAAGCACTAATAGTTAATTGAGTATTCCATAACATTCGACCTGTGTATGACCTGAACAGTGTTGGAGTTTTAGGCTAGAGAAGCCAAGTTCTTCTCCAGTGAAAAATAAAAATAGAAATCTATTTAAACACACCAGAGTAACGTGATCTCACTCTGTTAATCTCAAACAGTGTTTTATCATAAAGTTTCTCTCATTTCAGTTGTTTCAATGCACTTTATACTGTAAAGCAAAAACCCTACAATAAACATTCATCCTTTACAGTGGCAGCATTTGGCTATTGTCTCTGGAAACAGGGTTAACTGGGCGCGCCCCTTATTCCACTGAAAACTGTAGCACATCTTAATTTCATAGCCTCGTCTGCATTTGATTAAAAATCACTTCAAGCTGAGTGGCCTGCAGCTTTATCTGGCTGGGTGCACATGGCCATTATGGATAAATCCCTGGTTTTTAACAGGAGGTTAAAAGTGTCACTGGCTCTGCTTTCAGTATTCTGAGATCAGTTACAATCTGCTTTTTGCATGGAAACAGGACTAGCATTAGCAATAAACATGCTTCTTGTCATCGTGATAGATAAGTTACAATGTTGATTCTTAGGACTCTTTAGCACATGAATAAGGAAAGCCTTGACAGCAGACAGTGGGACTCCTGCCATATTCTGTTTAACCAAACAGGCAAGTTGAACAGTTACAGGTGCAGCCAGTATTTTATTTTTAATATATTTAAATTATCTTT